GATTCAGTGACATGTTAYATCTGTGGCAAAATGAAAAGCAGAATTCCCTCTTGGTGTGCACATGGAGGACTGAGTGGGCTTGGAAGTCTGAGGTACTTCTCCAGAAACTTCTCCTTAGTTTGCTACTTTACACTTCTCAATATAACTTTGGTCAAGAACACAACGCAGGAGTGTTCTATCTCTTTTCAGGAATGCTGGGAAAAATACATACACTACCTAACAATATTTCATGACTCTAATTATCCAGGAGGCACAAAAAGAAGGGCTTAATTGAGAAGTATACATCACACCTGCCTCCAGTTATGGGCCTGACCCAAAGACTACATTTCAAAAAGAGTTGGAAACATGCACCTGAGGGCAAGATGTGCGCAAGATGTAGAGATCCAAGCTTTGCCCTTAAACCAAAACAAACCTTTTCTCCTCATGAGTTGTTTACATCAGGTATTTTGTTACAGTGGCAGAAAGCTGACACAGTATTCTGTACACTGAGAGTGTATTTGTCCTCAGAATGTTCAAATAGCCAGTGCTTTGCCACAGCCTGGCTTGAGGACCGGGCCCCTCCTCCAGTTCCTGTCTCAGTAACTTCAGTCAGGGCAACAAGAGGGGCAGGTTTAGTGACTTGTAATGAAGTTGCCAGAGAACTGAAGCACCAATGGTCTTTACAGTTCATATGTGCCCAGTGATTTTATACCCTTTTCTCTGTCTCAGCAGGGACCCTGACATTCTCAACTGAGCGAAGCAAGAGTATCAGGTTCTGAATTCCCACAGGTCCTCACCTAGGAAGAAACTCCATCACAATGAGTCATGGCAGCACTAAATACCCAAGGAGACGGAGCCCCTCCTGGAAACCTGACAGAGACGCTGGCCTTTGGCTTTATAAACGTTGTACACAATGCAGCTTTGGGGCCAGAAGACCATYTCAAACTAAATAATCAGAGTGCACAGAGTACTAATTGGAATCAGCAAGACATGGCAAATCAGTTTTTTTTCTTCACTTTTTTTTTTTTTTTTAATAATGGCAAAACATCTAAAGAGTCCTTAAATAATCACACAGTACCCTGGACTGGAGGGCAAAGGCTGTGAGAAAGAACCTTTGTTTTTCTCTTCTGGGCATGAAAGATGTTATACTGAAGGGACCTTAAAGACCAGGCAGTCCAACCTACTCATTTCCCAGACAAGAAAAATGAAGCCCAGAGAACAGATGGGCTGCCTCCTCTAGTCATATGGGGCTTAAAAATATATATGTATATTTATTTTTTTTCATGAGCTTTAGTGAGAGTGACCAGTGTTATCTCATTTCCTGGCTTCTCAAATCCGGGATCCAGCCAAATCTAACTATTATTTATAGTCTGAACATACCTTATACTTTTCTACCTCCATACCATTGCCCCCATCACGTGGAATGCCATTCTTTACTTCCCCAACCTCCCAACTTCCATCTTTCGAAAAGTTTTCATCCTTCAGTGATGAGCCAACATATACCATCTCTTGGATAAACATTTTCCAGATGAAATGAGATTTCCTCTGTCAACTCCAACAACTATTACAATAGCAGCAACAGTGTTCACATGTTACCTATTATGGATTAGGCAGATTACTTATATTTTAATCTCATTGAGTCCTCAAAATAACCTTTTGACATTGGTGCTATCTTTCGTCATATGGTATTAATGAGGAAATGGAGAGTTTAAATCAGAGTCCTGGATCACTTGGCTAGGAAGTGACTCTGACCGTTTAATATAAATATGCTACATATCATTATTATGCTGAGAGGGGAAACTAAATTCTTTAATATGATATTTTCTCTAGTCCCCAATTCACCCAACAAAAAACAACAAAAAGCCAATTAATATATGGGAACTCAAGCTTCTTAGTTCATGGGTACAGAGATCMCTGAATTTTCATACATTTTCAAAATTTAAATTTGGCCAAAGGCACAAAACACTGAACTTATTTAATTTAAGGAAGTGGGTGTATAGAAAATGTGTTGGAGTCATTTTTCTTTCAGGATGATGTTTATTGACTGTATGTCCCCAGTATCTTATCCTGATGTCTGTTGTACCCGTTTATGGTCAAACTGGTCAGTGGTATAAATAGTCTTTTGTAACATACTCAGAAAGATCTAAATGCTAACCCCTCCCCATCTACTGGAGATTAACTYGAGCCTCCAGATTTGAACACAACATTGTGGGTATGTGTGCCTTTTTCTAGATAGGGGTTTTCTAGTGTTCACCAGATTCCCCAGGGGCTCTATGAATGACAAATATTAACAAGGGTCATCATTGTCTAAGGGAGGTGATGGAGGTAGAGGAGGTCTATGACTTGAAGAATGAGAAGAATCTGTGGTGGGTGGAAGCGTTCCTCTTAGGTTTGAACAAAACTTTTCCTTTAGGGGAATTCCACGAAAGGGCCTCTGTGATGGTTGAGATCTTAAATGCATCTCCAAGCCTTTGGAAGGCTTGTTTGCAAGTCCATGGCGCTATTGGGAGGTAGAACCTTGAAGAAGTGGGGCCTCGTGGGAGGAGGCTAGGTCACTTGGGGTGTGCCCTTGAAGCAGATATTGGGACTCCAATCCCTTCCTGTCTCTCTGCTTTCAGGTTGCCATAAAGTGAGCAACTTGGCTTCACCACATATTCCTTGTCACTATGTCTGCCCTGCCACAGACCCCCAAACAATGGAGCCAATCAACCGGTGCCCTGAAACCTCTCAAACTGTGAACCCAAACAAACCTTTCCTCCTCATGAGTTGTTTATATCAGGTATTTTTGTCACAGTGTCAGAAAGCGGATACGATATTTTGTATCCGAGAGTGTATTTGTCCTCAGAATGTTAAAACAGTCAGGAACTGGAGAGATTCACCCATGGCACCAGCCTTGATGATAAATCTGAGGCTCACACAAATGGAATCCTATATCTGAGTCCACACCATTCAGAACTGGTATAAAAGAGAGTCCAGTTCTCATTTCATTTTATAGTCCTTCCACTTTAATTCAAATAGCATCCTAATAAAATGATGACGGCTACAAAGAGGGGTCCATACAAAACCCAATATCTGCATATGGCTTGTGGAAGCAGTTCTTTGTAAACTGGTTCCAGGGAATTTTATTAAAAAAATAATCTTCTTCTAATGTTTTCTCTGGCTCCCAACTTTATAACATTATCTCTTTATAAATAAAGGATAAAATTGTGTGTTTTTCTCCTAAAGATGGCAAAAGGAGAATTGAGCTAACCTATAGTCAGTGCTGTAGTTTTTTTCTTGCCATCAAACRTCTTTTACTGTTCAATTTCTCTGTATTTTTTCTAAAACCTCAAATACTTCAAATCCCCACAGGCCACCAGGGTGTATAACAAGGTGTCCACATGAACCTTTTACCCTCCAAGGGGAGAATAACCACAACTCTACAACACATCTTTATAGGAGCAAAAAAAGTGTAATCCTCCTTCTGTAGATTAAGAGACCAGGGTTTTCAGGCAAACTGACAATCTCACCAAGTAAAAGAGCAAGAGCTTTCATCTAACTCAGTTTTCCTTTTCAAGAACTTTACTTTAGAATGGTAAGCATGGAGACCAAAGTCTTCAGGAGATCTCAAATGCAAGAAACACATCTCCACATTAATTAACCAGGTGTGTTCATGCATGCATATATGTTATCAAGCAATGACAGAGACACGTGCTTATGATCCTGTTACCATTTTTTTCTGCCCAGTGAATCTGAAAGCAAGTTGAAGTTTTGCTCCTGACTGGGAGAAAACTGAGGTGCAGAAAGCAGGTGGCTTGTCCTTGATCACATAATAAGTGAAAAGTTACATCAAAGAGAGTTATCACTGCACAGTGAGTGTGGAAATGTTCTTCCTAGTGATGCATTAATTTTAACAAAATGTTACCATAATGAAGTAGCATATTTAACTCTTGGAGGTTTTTTTATAGCAGTTCTCTGTATGTGCAAAGTAAAATCTGATGATGTCTCCAAATAGAGTCTTTACCCTCCCCCTTTTTTAAATAAAGAACTTCAAGGGCAGAGTGGGAGAATTTAATGATAAAAATATAAAGAGTAGGATTCCTATTATCTTTAACCAAGAATAAGCTCAATTTTCCAGTTTCTTACTGTCTTAAAAAAATCCAGTTCTTGAGAAATCAGAGATACTTCAAAATTGAAAATAATATCCCTCTAATTTTTTTTAGTTCTTAAGAAATTAAAGATACTTTAAGATTTAAAATAATGCTAGCTATCAATCATTGAAGATTACTTCTTCCTTTTATGATTATGTTTCTTTGGTAAACAACTTTTCTCACTACTCTTCTTAAAGATCATCATTCTTAATTAAGCTAAATCAAGAAATTGATGTCATGTTGCATGTATTTGGCTCCTGGGATGCTTCACCATTTTGAAAGAACCCCAGGGCAAGTCTTGCATGAAGAGATTAGAGTTGAAGGGAAATTTACAAGTCATCAGACTAATCTTCCACTTTGGGCAGAAAACTGTTATTTACAATATGCCTGAGAGGCGACCAGGCAGTCTCTACTAGAATGTGACCAGTGACAAGGAGCTCACTACTTCACACAGCAGTCGCCCCCACCACTCTGTTCAACAAGTCTCATTTTTGACATTAATTCCTAATTTTCAATAAAAATCCAATTACTCGTAATTGTGCCCAGATCTGACTCAGGACCTGGCAAAAGTCTTTTCTTTCTTTACATATGAAGTTCAAACACTTGTTTCCTTGCATCAAGCTTGTCTTCCTTTGAGGAAACACCCACAGTTCCTTTGCTTTGTCTTCCTGCACTCTGGGTTCACACCTGCCAGTATCCTCCTCCTCTAAGAAAGCCATCCTCCTCTCCATCTACCATAATTTACTGTTCTCCTTTCAAAAATGTACACCTCTAAAATTAAGCAGCTTTTGATAACTTTCAGAAATGTTTGCTGCTGAGAAAGTTCCCTTGCTTTGTAAGAACCCTGCACTCTCTTTTGGTGACAGTGGGTTTGTGATCTGAGGGACTTACCTTTGCCAAGGTCTCATCATCCAGGTGATTCTTCTGAATCACATGTTGAAGTGCAAAATAAATTTTTTCCTGAAGTTTCTGGACCTTCCTTGGTTCTATCAGCCAGGCTCGGTCTGACAAAAGAAAAAAAAAATGGGTAAGAAGGTAGGGCAGGATATAGCTTTGTTTTATTTCACCTACATATACAAGTGCTGAGTTTTAGATTCATTTCAAATTATGTAGTTCTAAATTGCCTCTGAAGACGTGTAATTATTTATATAAAACATAAATATTTTATAAGCAATAATACCATGAAGTCAGTAATGCATAGTAAAATGAATGACATAGGGCATATATTTGGAGGAGAAGACAATGGTTCGAATAAACTCCTTTTTGTTTCTTATTGTCTGTGACAGTCTGCATGTCTCTTTTTCTGGACAGATGCTTTGAATTTCTTTCAAAGTAGATATTAGTGATTTGTGAAGAAAAGCAATGATAGCAGTGAGAAAAAAATATTATACAGGAATATTGTTGGTATACATGATCTCTTCCTTATCTCAGCTTATTATTTCATCACATATAGAACTGAAGTTATGTTATACTTTATGCAACATAAACATGAGTTGATTTCAAAAATTTACCCTGAATCCTGTTTTTCTTTTTTAAAATCCTATCTTTTTTCTATACTGAATGTTTAAATGGTGAACAGGATAATCTGTCCTTTCCTTACTTGCTCCCTCCCTCCCTTTCTCTCTCCCACACTTCTCTCTTTTCACCCTTCTTCCTACTCCTTCCTTCCTTTCTGCCTAAAAGTTTATACACCCTAGTGATAAAATGCAGCTTAGCATCAATGCCTTAGTTTGGTCCTTCAATGAAGAGACACCTAGAAACTCTAAATGCTGAATAAATACTTATGGAAAATAACTTGGCATGATCCTCCTGAACACAGTTCAGGTCAGGTGAGAAACCCAATTCTGTAACCCTAGACAGGGCAAAGACAAGTCTAGCCAAGAGTTAAGCAAACTCTTACGTAAGTGAGCACAAAGGCCTTCAGTGACAATTTTCAATCAGAATAAATTAAGTTCCCTTCCCTCCCCTTCCTTCAGCTATTTGGAGTTGAATAGATGGTGACTACTAAGTCAAGAACCTGGGGAAAAGCTGGGATAAGCATGAGACAGACACAGACTGGAATCTCTTCCCTGGTTTTGAACATGGCGCTAACCCAGAGTGGCAAATCAGGTGTTTGGAATTGTGTAGCCTCTGAGTGTGGGTCTGCTCTCAGGGCTGGAAGATTCCACCCTAGGCAGAGCTAGCCAAATCTCCTGCTTCCAAACTTTATAAAACTTGATGAGAGCATATTATTTTGAGATAAAGGCTAAATAGCTCAGCTGATTTCCAACTCATAAAGACCAGGCTAGCCCTCCTCCTGGGCAATCATTTTCACAACTTATTTAAGTCTGATATGTCATGTGTTAAATATTCCTTGCTAGGAATGTACTGACTTCCACACAAACATATGCAAAAAGGAAAGAGATCCTTTAAAACTCTTCCTTTGAGCAACCAGAAACCATAGTGAAACCATCTCCCTCACCCATAGATCCAGACTTAGATTCAGTATCCTATTGAACTATACTCAATGAAAACAACCAAATACAATTAAAAGGAACATTATTTGGAATACAGTTGTTCCCAGAAATAAATGTCTCCTTTCATTTCTTCCATCTATCTTTGTGMTTTTCAGGCCTGTGAAACTTTCTAGAATATATACAAAAGGCCCAGAGGAAAAACATGATTTTAGAGCCATAAAAGTAACTGTTGATAAAAGGGATAACTAATTTTCATTTTTGAAAAAGTGGTTAAATAACCAATTATAGCAAGTTAAAATAAACTGGAAAATCAAACTCTGATAAGACCATTAAGGAATCATGTTAGGAATAATAGAGCCTGATTTTAAAAAAAAGTATAGAGGTTGGTATTATGGGCAATTTTAGCTAGAATAACATATCAAAGATCTAAGGTGTAGTCTCACATGACATGTAAGAATTATTTTTTCCAGCCTCACTGAAAACTGTGTTAGTGTATGAGGAAAAGTGATCTACCTCCAGAGACAAATTGTTGCAAAATAAATGAATCTCTCGATCTTAAAAACTAGGCAGGAATGTGCTCTTCTCTCAATAGAGTTGTTAATACTGCTGCTGCTATCTCTTGACCAGGAACGTCACTGAACAGACTACAGAGGGACTCTGAATTCTCTTTCTGGTTGAAAGGGATGCACATATTTATTATTATTATTATTTTTATTATATTATCATGATTACATGATTTACACTATTTATTATTACATTTGAAGCTGGCATGTACTTAAAAATTATTTCAATTGCTCTGGTTGATCCATAGATATCACATATTAACTTCTTTAAAATTTTTTGGCAATTTGTTACATTTTTGAGCTAGGGAATATTTCCTTTATTATGGAATCCAATCCCCTTACTTTGTAGATGAAGGAACTAAAGCTCTGAGAGGTTAAGTGAGGATAAATGATGAGAAAGTGTTCTTTGGTTTTTTACTCAAGTCCTTATGTTGGGTCTTTCATTTAGGTATATTTCTGTAAGTTTCACTCTATTGGACTTTTTTTCCTGTGTCCTTTATTAAGGTCAAAATAAAACACAGCCATTAACTCAGGTCATTATCTATCTTTATTTATTTACTAAGGAACAATTTTGCTTATCTGTAATGATCCTTACCATAGATCCTCCTCTTGTTTTGAGGGGAAAATTCATCATTTGAATAAACTTGAGGTTGCTTCTCTTTGCATTACCCCAACATATCAAAACCTTGCTAAATAAAATATAATTCTTTCAAAGTTTTTCCTGAACCCTTTGACTTGGGTGGGTGTAATTGATGTTAAACATAGTAAAGCAGGTTTTTTAAAAAGGTAAGGGATCCAAGGCCTCCCTACCTGGAGATATCAGAACAGCAGATGAGAACAAAGCAATCTCTTCTTCGGTCAGTTGCAAGGAACACAAATTCTTTGCAAAGTCAAATGCTTCATTCACTAGGTCATCAGAACCTAGAAGGAAAGAAGGAAAATGGCTGAAGGTGGAAGAGTAAGAAAAGTCTCAGGATCAAAAACTTATTCAAAGACTTGGATACTAGACATGTAGAAAAGACATTTTTAAGCACCTATCCATACATAGTAATTTTATATTAACTATAGAATGGGGAAACTTGGCGACATCTTGGCCAGGTGAATGAAGGGAGCATAACCAATGAGGGGGACATGGACGTGGTATGGGAATACATAACCCGAATTCCATCCTATAAACCTGAAATTATTTCCATCTAACAAATTACAAATAAATGACTTGAGAATTTTTTTATAATAGAGATAGCATTCATAGAAAACACAAAACATTACATAAAGGGACTAAGGACTGAACCTAGTGCCATTTGAACCTAGCAATAGATAGTGTTTAGGGGCTTCAATTGAGATGTAAGACACTTCTCACAGGATGGAAATGAGCTTTCTGTCAGTTTGGTAATGTCTCTGGCTATCTGATTGAGGAGCATGAGTTATTTATTTTTACCTTCTGATGCATGATACACAGGTCAGTTGCTTAGCCATTATAAATTTTGCCAAGACAATAGTGCCTCTCTACACTTATCCCTGGTAAATGTTTATTTGATGAAGATGGAAATATACTAAAGTCGCTTGCCAAGGCTTTCCCTACTTTCTTGAAAATCTAGCCTTGGGGACAACTTGGATGTGTGTCAGCTGTGGAAGGGAAACACTGCCAGCCTCGATGGGTTGGTTGCTGACTACCGTATCAGCTAACAGCACAGGAGGTGAAAGAGCAGTGTCCTTCTRTGGTGTCCATGGACAGGATACGGAACAAATGGCATTATCAATGGTTAAAACCTTTCCTGGCATCAGCCCATCTTTGCTAATGCTCTTCTTATCCCTGCTGTACACTGATGACTGGACATGATGATACGCGGCCCTTCCAAACAAAGACCGACTCTATCAGTGCCTCMCGTGACAATGGTCTGAGAATCATTTTGACCCCCAACTCTATAGGTGCTCCCAGAGTTTCACAAGTTCACAGGGAGAACATCATTACTCTGGGGGAAAAACAAGTGAAGAGTTTCTCTTTTAATTATCTTGACTAGAGATTATGAATTTACTAAGAAATTTAGGAGGTCACCTCCATAGGCCACCATATAATATAACTTGTGAAGCAGTAAACAGCAAAGAATGACCTACAGTGCCTCCCCAATTTTTCAGATCATGGCCAATCTTTATTTTCATGAAGTTTTAGGCACAGACTCAATAGGGCCCACAGTTCTCTTCTTCCTTTCCTATTAGATTAGCCATAATTGTAGGACCAGCAGAGTGGGATGAAGTTCAGAGGCTCACTGTGCCCTACTCTTACTGAATAATGAGATACTAGCTATAATTAAAGAATCAATACATTTCACTTGGCAGTTTAAGTCCAAGTGGAGAAGTTTATGGTAGCTAATAAAATTGTACCAGCGGCAAAARGAAGCTTACCTAAGGCTTTGAACATTTGCATTCCTCCATATTTTCCTTCAAACAGAACAGTGTTGTTTAATGGGTTGAAGGCACGGCACATTCTCACTAAAACCACTTCCAAGCAACCTAAGAGTTAAAAAAAATTAAACCATGTATACGTATCCAGTAATGAAGTAGTTATTACTGAGTGTAAGTGGAGATGTTCAAGAACTTTAACACAGACCCAGATGCACACAGACACCCCAATATGGAAACCCTTCAAGATTCTTTCCCCTTAGAATAGAAATAAGACTCTCTTGATAATCATGTGAGGAAATTAAAGAGAAAATATACTTTAAAGTTGAAATGGAGGGCACCAACAACACTTTTTTGGGGGAAGCATTTCTTACTATTTTTTGACTAATATTATAGGTAGTTTCAATTCTTGAATTCACGATTGATGATAAATGGCTCAGAAAGGAACTTTGCAGGAGGTGAGTCTTATCTATTGTCTTTWAAAAAAAATTGTTTACTTGTCAATGGACCTTTATTTTATTTGTTTATATGTGGTGCCGAGAATCRAACCCAGTGCCTCACACATGCTAAGCAAGTGCTCCACCACTGAGCCAAAGCCCCAGCCCTTATCTATTGTCTTTTGTAGAAGTTATGCTATTGRGGAGACATTACTCTCTACTTCACCTGCCACATGGAGTTTCTAACAGGCTCCCTCCTTATTTCAGCACAGGATGATATTAAATAGAAACTCTGTGTGTTTCTTKAGAGACACCATTTACATCTAATGCTCTTTGAAATGAATGTTTCTCGGACAAATARGTTTTTGCAAAATGCTAAATTATCTCACTCCAGAGAGATATAATCAACATTCCCAGATCACAGGCTCTGAGAAGTTCCAACTTGAAGAAGTTTGATTAACYTTAATGAACTTAGAATGTTTTTGAGTTTGCTATCAGCTCAGTGAGGGCAGAAACCTTGCCTGCAGCAACAGGCAGTTGAGGTCATTGCATTCACTTTTGCATTTCTGGGACCACAGAGAGTCCCTGGCACATAGTAGGTGCTAAATGATATTTATTAAATTTGTTTTTCCCTCTGAATATTTATTGATATCATGAGGAACTATTGCAGCAGTTTCTCCACATATTGGAGAGATGGGCTTTTATCTCACAGTGTATTAGAAATTGACAACTAGACTCCAAAGCCCCAAATATGCATGACAGCATCCTACTGATAATTTGGCTACATCCTTGGTGTCTTCTTATGGCACCACTTTATATTTGTCTGAGTTTTATTTCCTTTGCTATGCTAATTTCTCATTGCTTCCTAACATAGGGACTTCCACACATGAGAGGATTTGCAAACATTTATTGAAGCAAGGCTTTCCCACAACAATAAAAATGCTCACCATTTACTGATGTTCTACACTATAGAAGGCACTTTCTTTGGCCCCTTACAATTGTTATCATACTTGCTCTTTGAAATAACCATTTTAGGTGAGTTTTATTATCCCTGTTTTATGAATGAGTTACAGAAGTTTTAAGGATATTAAGTAGCTTGTCTTTTATACTGGAGTCAACATATTTACAGCAGGGAGAGATGTTAAAGATTACATAATGTCAGTGGTTTCCAARTGTCAGTCCATGGATTGGTGATATCTGAGTCTTAGAAATACAATGAATGGGACTCTCTTCCAGGAGGTTCAGATTCCCTGGCTTGTGATGATGGCTGTTTCTGAACTGTCAACAACCTCTTATGGCACTCCGGATACAACTCCAAGTTTGGAATTGATTGTTTCTAGTACACCACTTTAATTTACAAATGAGAAAACTACCATCTTGAGAGGTTAGTTCAAAGTCATATAATAAGTGGGATAGATTTTATTGTTCAAAGCGAGTCACCAAAATATCTCCTACTCCACATGCTTTTCTAGACCTGACCAAATCAAGAAGTTGTATCCACTTCTGCTACCCCTGAGACCAGGTAAGCTTTTGTTACTGCCTTGACTGAAGGGTATGGTGGAAGTAACACTATGTGATTTCTGAGGCTAACTCAGAGAGATCTATGCACTGTTGTCTTGTTCTTTCAGAGTGCAAGCTTTGGGAACCCAGTGACTATGTCACCAGGATGTCCAAACAGTCTGTGAAGATGCTCATATGGAGAGCCACTGAGGCCCCTAGCCCAGAGCCTTGTCTGAACTCTAGCTGTCAACAAGCACACTTTGCAAGCCATGGGATACAACCAATTTGAAAGTAGGTACTTTTCTCCCCAGCGAAGTCACCTCATGGCACAGAGATAAGCCATTCCTGCTGAATCCTGGCCAAATTGTAGCTTTAAGGGCAAAATAAATGATTGTTGTTGTTTTAACTAAATTTTAGGGTTTTTAGAAAACTGATAATATTCAAATTAGCATGGTTTTTCTCAATTGCATCATTTGGTAAAGAAGCAGCAACATCGTGTAGAATAGTCATCATATTTAACCCAAGTTCAAACACCAGATTGCCGCATATTGGCTTTGTGATATGAACACAGTCTTTCACTTCTCTGAATTTTTACCTCCTCTGGTTTAAGATGAAAATAACCTCAGAAGACTAAATGCGATGACATAAGTAAACATGAAAATGCATACATATATTATGACATGTAAAAAAGGATGTTATTATTATTACTGTGTCATGAAGATTAACACAAAACACCATGTTGTTCTTATTTTCTGTTTTCAAAGGGAGCTGAGTAAGACAAGTCATCGTTTTTCCTATTAAGTAATAGGATCCGCACAGTCAGTTATATGCAGAATTTCTTGGGCTACTTCCTAAGTGATTGTGTGTATGTGAGAATGTACCAGAGAAGGGGTGGAAAAGATTAGAGCACGTTGGAGATTCTCCCAGCATACACTGGCTGCAGGCTATCCTCATTAAAAAGATTGGAAATGACCACAGAGGCAGAGCTCAACTAGCCTGTATTTTTTTTCCCCTCACAGAAAGCAAGGAGTAGGTTTTAGCGCCAGCTCAGCAATTCAGCCACCTTGACACACTAATTACTTGCACTGCCTGTCAAGCTGGGTATCTCAACCTACACAATTAATAGCTCCACTTTCAATAAGCAAAATTGTATTTGACTTCAAAGTGGACTGAATGGGGATCAGGGCATTTGCATTACTGAAAGTTTCCTTTGGGAGTTAGCTGACAATGTGGGTGGTAAAAAACGGGCTATCTATTGAAAGAATTTTCTAGAACCTTCACAGAGCTAAAGATTGACCACGTCCTGGTCTAAAATTGAGAATATCATGCTAAGTGAAATAAGCCAAACTCAGAAACTCAAAAGGTCAAATGTTTTCTTTCATTTGGGGAAACTAGAGTAAAATAAAGGAAAGGAGGAAGGAAGGATAGGATACCATTTAAAAAAACCAATCAAATGTAAATTAATAGATGAGGGGAAGGAAGTCTAGAAGAGTAGAGGAAAGGAGAGGAGGAGAGGGGAGGGAACTCAATTACTATGTTTAACTATAAAGCTCTAATAATAATAAAAATAAAATMAAAAAAGCCCTCATGAGTCTACTCCTGGCTTACCTGATTTCAGAAGCAGTATCTGATCATTTTGGCAGAGTTCCATGAAGCCTGTTATCCGCTTTGCAAACTCCACCACGTACTGGATGGCATGAGTGATCTGGATGGCACATTGCTGCCACAGTGCTTCCCTGGACTTCAAGAGAGAAAACACAACATGTATGTAGAGCCAGGAACTCCATGGAGAATAAAAAAAACAAAAACAAAAACAAAAACAAAAAAACAAACAAAAAAACCCCACTCAAGGTTGCCTTATGGGTTACCTGTCACTTGGGACCCAAGGTTGGAAATTAGGAAGAGGAGGGCAAATTATTTTTATATTTATGTCCGATTTATGTGAACCTCAATATGCCACAATGATCAAAGTACTGAGGCTAAATTGGTAGAGTGTGTGAAGATGGTTATTTTCCTTACTAATTTCCACCCCCCCTCCTTTCTTAAACTCAAGTCTTGGTCCATCATATAAAAGTAAATCCTTGCTTTGAAGAATAGCAATTTAATTCATGGTCCTCCCTCCTTCCATAATGCCATTTTCACAGGTAGTTGATGGACATTAAACTTGTAATATTTTTATGTTGTGTTCTTTTTCTAGAACGTATGGAGTATTGTTGTTGTTTGTCTGGGTGTATGTAGTACTGAGGATCGAACCCAGGGCAAACACTCATCCACTGAGCAACATCTCCAGTCGGAGATTGCTTTTTGTATAAGAAGAATTCCAAGGTAAGAGRCATCAGATGATATTAAATCACTCTCATGAGTAATACAGAAGCCCAAAAATATATCTCAAAGTTATTTTCTTTAAACTGAGAAATCTAATTTACATATGTGTTAATTCTGCTTTTTACTGACCATAGCAATATCTATGCCTTTGTTTCCATATCTATTTAAAAGTAGTAAGAGTTATTTATTATGTTAGAGAAAAATCAGTGTTTGTTTAAATCATACATTTAGATGCACATTTATATATTTTGTTAAAATTCCATCATCTGCAACATCTTATGATTGAAGATCTCAATCCCAAAGTCCTGTAACATGAATACTGAACAGTAAGAATAAACTTCTTCCTTTAAAATCTTCTCCAATGTACACAAAAAATCCTACTAATACTAATAATATGGGGAGAGTTGTCTTTTCCCCTTGGGTTCCTTTTAATTTATAAGGTAAAAAAAAAAACGTTTTAGGATGCCATGTTCCACATTTTTGTTGCTAAGTGTGATATGATTATTGCTGCTCTGATTACTCAATGGCTCCTGCTCTTTGCCTGAATCCAAGAAGCCAACATGAGTAGTCCTAAAACCACCTGATGAACATTGAGTCTCTCTGGTCACTACAATGGGACAGTGATGCCTCCCGGGAACTGCAACATCTAGAGACATTTTTGGTTGTCACAACTGTGTGAGGGTGGTACTATGTATTTACACCTAGACAGGGATCCTGGTAAATATCCTATCATGCACAGAACAACCCTCACAACAAAGAATAATCTAGCCTAAAATGTTGATGGTGCTGAGACTGAGAAAATCAGAAATGGGGTAATCACAGAGAAGTTTCCTGTTGTTTCTCAGAGTACCTTGCTTTGATAGGCTTTGATTTCTTCATAGGTGTGGGTCTGCCATGCCAGCTGGTGCAGCTCTTCCATGGTGTACTGACATGTCTCCAAGTGGGACTTAATGATGTTCTGTGCAATTCGATCTGTGAGAAAGAATATCAGTTCCAGAGTTTGTGAATAAGATAATTCTATTAAATCAAAATTGTTTTTTATGTTTACTATAGAAATGCCTTTTGGAGATTCTCCGAGTGCACCAAAGTATCTTTAATATTACTATCTATCTTAAAATCTCCCAAATCTTGCCTTTTTTTTCCAATTTTCAGTTCTCTGATCAAAATCTTCTGCCTTTTCTCTTTTCTGCTCCCTCTTGCCCACAGCCTTGATGTCTTACAAATTGTTAAGCATTCAATTAACTATTTAATATTAACACACACATGAAATTACTTTACTGCTTGCTTTGGGGCCTAAAAGTCCACTAATAGTTTTAATACATACACTCCAAATACTTTTTTTTTTCAAACGTTTTGAAAATCACTAAAATCCTATTTTATTACAGAACTAAGGAATTAAAATATAAAAGCATTTGCTCGTCTTTGAAAAATGGGATGATATGGGGACTAGAGGTGTAGTTTAGTGATAGAACATTTGCCTAGCACATGCAGGCCTGGGTTCAATCCCCAGAACTGTGAAAAAATAAAAGTAAAAAAAATAAAATAAACATTTAAAAAAGAGAGGATTAAATAATAAGCTATACAGAAAGAGGGAATAGGGTGGAAGGCAAGAGATGGAAGCAAAACTTTGATGATATTAGTTATAGATTTGGTTTTGGAACCACGTATGTATCTTAAGATGAAATGATTTGGACCATGAGTTGATAATTACTTAAGCTGGTTCATGAGAGCCATTATATTCAACTTTCTATTTTTTTGTATGATGACATCTTCCTTTAAGATATTTTAGAGAGGAATGGGAATGTAGCTTGGTGGTAGAGCACTTGCCTAGCATGCACAAGGTTCTGAATTCAATCCCTAGTACTGAAAAAAAAGTCTCAGAGAAAATGATTATATTCATAAAAGGTAGTAACAAACTAAATTAATCTTTGCAGGCAGTCTATCCTAAACGAGTTGTATTTTACATGTATCTTAAACACCAATCATTTTGGCTTTGGAGGTGTGAGAGTTGAGTGACAGAACCGCATGCGAGAGCTCTTCTTATAAACTTGCTCTGTGTCCCTTAAAGTTGCACAGAGCTGGCAGGAGGGCCTTCATACTCCCATCTGCTATTTGAATACATGGAAAGGGGGACAGCTTGGGAAACCAAAATACTTGGGAATTCTGTATGTGGGGTATGCATAGAACAAAGATGACCACATCCTCCTGATAACGGTTGTTGGCTCACCCAGAAATGGAACCTTTCTTGTGTTTCAGGCTGTCTCMTTGCATGTGCAATTTCTGTTCTTTTCTAGATGGCTGTATTTTGTTTCTCCAGGATAGCCCTCAAAGAAGTACTTGGGCACTTTCCTTTGACCTTACAAAACTCCCCCTATATGTGGAGTGAAGTAAATTGAGTTGCTGTGCTATGGAGAATGAGAAATGTACATTTAAACTTTGGATGAACTTTCCCAAATAAAACTCTCCTTAGATGATTGCCTGGCATATTGTATACACTGAATAAACAGTAGCCCAAATTATCATTATTAGGGCATCTTGTGCAGTTTGTTGTCAGGGAAGAAATATGATGACTGCAAGGGAGGAAAAAGCAGATATCTGGTTTTGCAATCAGTACTACCAAAGGAAGACATTTCAATATCTTTTAGAGCTTTTCATCAAAACTATAAATGGAGAGAGGTAGAAGATGCAACAAAATGCTAACTTAAGATCATAGTTATAGTCTATTAGTTTCAGCACTSGGCATTTCTAGATTTTCATTGCTTATCATATTACAAAATCCTTTCTTTAAAAAAATCTTATATTCAAAGTTTTATTGAATATTTCTCAGTGTTATAAAAAAGGGCAGGGATGATTCTATACATCACATAAAAATAGATTGTCAAGTCATAGCTCATCATTTTTCAATTTCATCTGGGCAGTCTAATTATTTAGATTCTAAAAAATGTATCTGCTTTCTGGTAGGCATATAATGAAAACACAAGATTTTATAGCTGTATGGCTTTCAAACTTTTATCTTTGTGGAGCAGTTTGTTTTCATCTTCAAGGATATGCTGATTTGTTGGTAATTTACAGGCTTCAGGGTTTATAAGCAAATCTGGAATTGCTACTCAAAATTGCATTATGAAAAACTATCTGCTCTTTTCGGTTATCTTCTGGGAACTACTGACCAAAGTGAAGAAATCTCTGTCCTTCTATCACCAAAACTTAGGGACCTACAGGGTATGAAGAAGAGCAAGCATAATAAATATGCAGACAAGCTAAGCAAAATTAGAAGTTAAATCCACACACATGCTCCTGGTCAGGTGTCCATTCCTGGTGAAGGCTTCCCTGTCTCCCTGTGACCTCCAACAGAAGGACTGCCTGCTGGCATTTGTGATTCGACCCCTTTGAGTCATTATTCTGGCAAGGGTTGTTCTGGGATGATTTCTGTGGATCTGTTTGGCTCAGATCCTTCAAGATTGCAAGCTCATCAAGAACTGGATGGTAGAGTCCAGCACAGAACCATCAAATGTTTAGTCAACAAGTATCTTTTTGAGCAACTATTATATACTAGGTCAAGGAAACAAAAGACACTGCTTTCACTCTTAAGGAGCTTCGAATCACATCATATCATGATGGAATAAGTGCCCTGAGGTATTGTGGGAGCCCAAAGAAGAGAGGGTCTGGCTCAGCTGGGGGAGGCAAAAAAAAAAAATATAACCACAGAGGAGATGACGTGGGTCTTGAAGGATGTACAGGAGTTTGTGACATGGAAAAGAGAGAGAGATGCAGCTCAGGGAGAAGGAACAAGACTCTGAAGGCACAGAAAGAAAACTAGCTGTAGGCTGGGTAGTTTCAGAATTATCTTACATCTTTATAACCCTTACTTTTGTATAACCAACCCCTCTTTCCCTGAGGAGACAAGTGAGGTTCAGAAAGAGGGGGTGACTCTGGACCAGTCTTTTCAGAGTTAGCAAATGATGCTTTGCAATTAGGTCTGTGTTCTCCAGTAAGAGGTCTAGTGTGTTTATAACACAGGGTAYATGGAGCCTGGGGAGAAATGAGGGGAGGTTAGAAACTGTGATTGGAACACAAACTGCCAGGTAACCATGCCCTGGAATTTCAATGTCTAGGATTTAAATTTTATCTTTGTATTTTATCTTGTAGTCAACTGGGAGCTAGTGAAGTCATGACACTAACATAGTCATTTTTTAGAAGAATGATCTTGGCCATRGTGAAGAGAATGAGATGTCATAAGCAAATGAATGAAATTAACCAGGCTGTTGTGAAAATTTGGGTAAGATATGATGAGATACTCCACCAGGTGATAATGACAGAGATAGTGGAGATGGAGGGTTTGGATGCAAGACAATTATGAAGGAGAATGCACAGGACCAGTCGAGAGAGAGAGAAAACATTAAATAGAGTAGGCACTTGACCAATGTTGAATTAGCGTAGATAAGGCTGAAAATGTCTATCAATCTCTGCAAACATCCTTCCACCTTTTGCTTTATTTCAAAAAGAATTTGAGAAAGTTAAGATTGGCCCTAAAATCTTTGAAGTCAATACTAAATGTGCATTGCTAGTTCCCGTGCCCTTGTGGTAAAAAAATAAAACGGAGATCTCTTTGGGACATAAGATGTATAYGTGGCCAGGAGGGCCAAGGTGCTGTAGCTGCAGTTGCAGATCCCATCGACCCCTCTGCTCTCTCCCACTGTTGCAGTGCAGAGGTGAGCCACGTGCAAAACCCAACTTTGACTCTCTTGAGGCTCAGGTCGATAAAGCATACAGTAAAGCCAGACTTGGTCTCATGGGAGCAGGGCCAGAGGGCTCATTCTGTCCTTTAGAAAGATGCTTGAACATCAGAGGAGACGGTTTGCTTGGACTGAGAGTCTGCAGTTGTGAAAAAGGGAGAAGGGCTTAAAAAAGAAGGGACAAAGGGAGAGACAATGAATACAGTATGCAAAGTTCCTGCTGGGAGCCAAAAGAACGTTCAAGAGTTCTTGCCTGGAAAAATAGAAAAGGTAATAGTAAACGCAGTCCTCTCCAGGGACCAACCACATGAGAAAGTCCAGACAAAGAGACTGAGGCAAAAGAGCAGAAGAGATGGAATCTACTGGGGCAACCGCACACCCTTCATCCGTTACCCTGACTTGGATTGCAGCTATTTCTCAGAGCTGAGTTTTTGTCGGATTTGTTCACTGCTTGGGCTGCAGACAATACGTGTTGAATAAGGAGCTGGCATGCTCTGGGCTGGAATAATGGGTCCGACAGGAATATGGAGGAGAAAATGAAATCATGGGAAATTCTCTCACCTCTCGAGGTGATGCATGTGGACTCTGTGGACTACACTCTGGCCCACCTGAGATCAGGGATGAGGCTGGTAATTTCTTAAGTGGACGTGGAAGGGAACCTGGAGTGAGAACCACTAAATCGCCTCAGTAAAGATTCTGTACACGTTTAGTTACATAAAGGTTTGTCCAGATCACTAAGAGGGCAAGAGCTGCTTTGATAGTTCATAAAGGATGAGGAAGGAGAAAAAGAATTTCATATGCTCAGTCCACTTCTTCATTTTCAGCCATGGGGAGGAACAATGTCAGTATTGATGTAGGAAAGGGAAAGCTGTGGGGCATCACAGGTAAACACCAAGTCTGTGTTCCTTGTTTTCTATGTAGTAATTTCATGAAAAATAACTTGGTCTCATTCTCTCCCTCCCTCCCCTCCCCATTTCTCTTCTGTGGACCCAGATGGATAAACATATAAAACTACCCCCCCCCATAACTGTTTTGTCTGTCTTTTGGTTCTATCTTGTCTTGGGGGATAAGCCTTGTTGAAACCCAAGATTTACATTCACGTAATATAATCTGGAACTTCATATATCAACTAACTTTGGGGGATGAAAAATGACAACGTGAGATTCAAATGAAATGAAATAACTGAGAATAGCTTTAAACTAATTGACCTAAGTACTTCTCTATCATTTTGATGAAAAA